TTTAATTAATTTTATTATTTAGCTGATTTTTATTGGTTAAAATAAGAAAGATTAAATAAAAGAATAATTTTAATATCTAAATCAAATTATTTCATTTGAATATTATTAAATTTTAAATTTTCTGTGATAAAAAGTCAACTTACCTTAATTGTTTTATGAAGATAATATTCATTTATTTTAAAATTTAAATGACATGTTTTGATTGGTTAAAAAACAAAGGGGTGAATGAAGAGGTTCACCCGTAGGGGTGAACCCAAGAATTGTTCATAAGTATTCTATAATTATAGAACAAAGAGTTTCCGTAGAAATGCAATTCTAATAAGATGTAGAACAAAGAGATAACTATAGAAAGATAATTCTACTAAACTGTAGAACAATGAAAATGTTGTAGAATACGGTTTCATAACTTTGTAGAACATAGAAGAACTGTAGATAACTAATTCTATATATTTAGTAGAAAACTAATGAAATAGTAGATAGTTTTTTTTTTTTTTTTGGATCAAACAAATCCATTTAGAATCTTAGCCCAATACATTTTAGCCTATTAAGGCCTTTTTTGCTACAGAATCAGCAACATTGTTTGTATCTCTGGGAATAAAAAAGAAATCGATTGAATCAAATTCTTGAGAGCAGCGAATGATGTCTGAGAGGATTCCGTGAAGATCGAGGATTAGGGTTCTGGATTTGATAATTCTTATCGCTACCTGCGAATCAGAAAGGATGATCAAATCCATAAATCCCAGATTCCTAGCCTGCATCAGTGCTGATCTTATGGCCATGGTTTCTGCCATTAAGGGCGAGGTCACAAACTCCACAGTAGTTGAGGATTCAAGCAGTTTATTTGAGCCATCTGTGAATACCCAGGCTAATCCTGCCATACAGGTATCTTTCCTCCAAGCTGCGTCTGTGTTGCAGAGCATAGCTCTCAGCGGGAATTGGGGTAAAGTTCTATTCTGGGCTCTGAGTTGGGGTGGAGATATGATCGCTGATGGCCTGCTTTCCATCCATTCTCTTGCTTCCATGATGGCTTTGGTCACTGTTTCTTCTGCAGAGAAGGTGCGATTGGCGAAGATCTTTTGGTTTCTTGAGATCCATAGATTCCACAAAATCCAAGGGTATAGACCTCCTTTAGGTATGCCAATTGGTGGTAGGGTGATTAGGCTCTGGAGCATCTTCAAGCCAGTTACAATATCTGGGGTATCTGTAAGGTCGAAACCAGAGGACCAATGGGTTTTTTCCCAGACTTCCATTGCAAAAGGGCATTGGAAGAGCATGTGTGAGACTGTTTCTGGAGCAGAGCATCTACAGCATCGGTTGTCATTTGTGATTTGTCTGATACTCAACTGCTCACCCACAGGGAGCGCATTATTGATCGCTTTCCAGATGAACATCTGGATTTTTGGTGCAGTCTTAACGTTCCAGACCTGGGTGTACCAGTCAGCTTCTAAGGGGTTGTAGTAGGGTGTCATTTCATCCTCTGCCGAGGCTGCCAAGTATCCTGATCGAGTGGAGTATTCACCATTCTTCTGCTTGAGCCAGATAAGTCTATCCTTTTCGCCCAGAATACTGATTTTAATCTCCATGATCTGTTTTTTGAAATGTGGGAGGATCTGGTCCACTTTGTGGTTGTCCCACTCTTGGCCGTTTTCAGTCATTAGATCTCTAACCCTGAGGTTTTGTTGGTTTTCCGGTGGAGGACCGATAGGCCTAGCTTGGCTCGATGTAGACATCCAGGGGTCGTGCCACAAATTGATGGATTCACCATTTCCCACCACCCAGCCAAGCTGTTTCAAGATAAGCTCCTTACCGATCATAATACTACGCCATCCATGTGAGCAGTTCGAGGGGGCTTTGCTTTCAAGGTAAGTGCTATCCATGCAGTATTTACCAAGTAGGATTCTAGATAGGAGGCTTTGAGGGTTTGTTTGTATCCGCCAGCTAACTTTAGCTAGAAGAGCGTCATTAAAGTTGCTTATGTCCTTGAAGCCCAGCCCTCCCTGGTTTTTAGGTCTTGCCATTTTCTTCCAAGCTAGCCAACTTGTTTTCTTGTGGTCTGGGTCCGAGTCCCACCAAAACCTAGTTAGGGCCGATTGGATTCTTGAGCAAAAGGACTGTGGTAACTTGAAGCATGTCATTGCATAAGTAGGCATAGCCGCAAGTACACTCTTTAGCATGACCATCTTGCCTACACATGATAGCATTTTGACGTCCAACTAGCGGCTTTTTGTTTGATTCTATCCACTATGGAGCTGAAGATATCTCTTTTCCTCCTCCCAAAAATTTATAGAATGTGCTTTCTACTAATTCATAGAACATTTGTAAAAAATTGTTTTAATTTTTTTTTGGCAAAAATATGTTATGAAATGTCTTTGTCTTCCCTTTTCAGAATTTTTCAAAAAAAATTAGATTATAAAAATATTTTTTTAAAATTTTCGTAATTAGAAATAAATGGTATTTTTCTCCAAAAGTGGTCAAGTTTAAAAAAGTATTAAAGGGACAATACTACAGTTTTTTTTTCCTATAAATATAATTGCCCCTTTTATATAGTAGATTTTGATAGAATTCTTCAACAGCTCATTAAAAACATTGAAATACTTTAAATTAGCTGAATTAAATTTATCTACATTCTTTTAAATTTAGTCGTTCAATACATTCTCTTTAGTCTCTAGATTTTCAATTTTATTAAAATATATGTATATATATAATAATAATATTTAAATAAAATACAAAAATTAACAATTTTTTTTACATGTTTGGAGTCTCTAAAACATAAAAGTTTGACAACCGGAATAAATCAGACCAAACCAATAAGAATGCATTCGGTTGTAAACAGTTGAGTTCTTTGACTGAAACCAGGCCAAGTATCACCTAAATAAATCAAATCATAGATGCTTTTAATATTGAACCCATGAATAGTCCGGATTCCAAAACTCATGTTTATAAAGTTGTACGTGATGAGCTTTATACCTTTAATATTCGGCCCATGAATTTGACCACATGCATTAAAAAACAGTAGGTTTTACTTTCTAATAAATTAGATTTATCTAATGATATGTATTTTTGAAATATTGTCATAATATATACATATATATATATATATATTGTATCCTGTATAAATTTTTGGGGGTCCTTAGTGATACTTTCAAATCATTTTTAGTTTAATAACACTAGATTAATATTATTTTTTATTTAAAAAATTGAATCCATGTTCAAAGAACATATGATTTATCATTTTGATACAAATCTTTCTATAATTCTAGATTGAATTACGAGTATTTATAAAAAAGGAAGGATATATTATAAAGAGTTTGACCACATGCTGACATGTGACTTATCGACTCCATTTCCAAAAGTCGTAGAGAAGTCTCTCTTCTCGACTTCACGCAAACCTTATGATAATTATTTTTTTTGTAACTTACAAAATAAAAAATGGTGTCTTTATAAATCATACGGTCCATCTACTTTGATCGCCCACTACTTTGCATTTCCTTCATTTCATTTGATTAAATACTTCTACCATGCATTTTTTATAACTGTGATAGTTACTAAACCACAACTAAATTACTCTTGAAGATTTGTAGAAAACAGGAAAAGCTACCACAAAATTAGTCATTTTATATAAAATCTAATTACTTTGTTTCTGGTATGTTTGTGATAAAAATGAAACAAATTAGTCATTCTATACAGTTGATGAACTTTGGGATCGAATTATGGGTCCCTGTTTAAAATTTAAGCAGTGCAATATAACTTTTGGAAACCCTAACTATTAAGCACACAAAAAACCCGATCCCAATTAATTTTATAAAAGAATGATGGAATCCAAAACCGTTTTATTTTTCTAAAAGAGTAGGCACGTCTATGTAACAAACTAACAACCATTTATAGACCATATGCAGATAAAAAGGATAATGCTGACCCTACGTGAAAAACAATATTTAAGTAGTCAACATTTTTTCACTGTCATGATTACTCGAAATATTTTGGGATCCAACTATGTACTGAAAACAAAAGTACAAATCTCCAATTGAAGTCAATTTAGGTTAGAATGCCAATTCCAATTTTGCTTCGAACTAGAGTTCTGCAAGTTTTTTAATTGGGTGAAATCATTAAGTCTTTTTTTTTATGAGAGCAGGAGAGGCATCTCGGATCGGATGTAGATCATGATCTTTTGACGTCAATCGGAAGTAGATAAACAATTATTTTAGCTTTTTGATGCAATTTAAAATTAAGCATAATAAATACTCGTATTAAACAAATGCATTATTGGCAAATCATGACCCCACGTCAACTGGAGTTGCACGGAAAGTCAACAACGTACTTTTGCGTATCGCTTCCTCCCAAAGCTTGAGATATTATTCCTGTATTCACAATTTTAATACTCCCACTGATTTAATTAATTAACTAACTAAATAAGGACACGATAAAAAAACTAAACAAATATGGAAACATATCATTTTTCTTAAAAGAAATTTCTTCATTGAAACAAAACTAGTATCACAACTAAAACTATTTAAATTTTCCCCACTCCTTCCGTATCTATTTTTCCTTTTTTACTTTAGAAATGAAGAAAATGGTTAAGCTGAACTTTTCTTTATAAAAAAAGAAAATTTCTTTATAGTTGCATAATTTCCTGGTCACCTATTTCGGTTTATTGATTTTAATATTGATCATGCCATTAAACTCGTAGTTTCTAGGAAGTTGTTTCTCTTTGTTAACAATAATAAATGTGTACAGAATTTTAGGTGACTTCATTAGACGGCAATTACGTGTCAAATTGTTATAGCAGCATTTATTGACCTTTGCAATTGTTATATACTACTACATATAAGGATTTTATTAAATGCTCAATAAGTGTCATTATGTAGTACACTTACCTGACGTTATCTCATTATCTATTGAAGGTCCGGCCAAACAATTAGGTTTCTGTATACGGCGCTCACATGTCGTGTATGATATATACACAAAATAAATGTCATTATTAAAGGCAATGCTGAGTTACGTTTACAAAATAAACAGCTACTATTATTCGAATAAAAATGTTTTTCTTTTGTATATTTACTGAGAGTTTGGTACGAAACAGAACAAATATGAATCAATGAAATAAACTCTGTTTCCTATAACCCACTTGAAAAAAAAATATGAAGATGTAAAAAAAAAACAATAACAAAACAATTGTAATATGTTACTATTGATTTTTGTTGTTTCCTTCGCCGTCACGGTGATTCGAACCATTGATCATAGAAGAAATAACGGCTGCAAGAACCGCCGTAAAATTCGGATCAGCTGTGAGCGCCGCTATTGTATCAGCCACCGCGGTCGGTTGCGAAAAAGCAGCCGCCGACGGAGAACCACCGGAAAACTGCAGCCCCGAGAATTTGGATTGGTTATACAATGCCTGACCTATTACATGAGGTAACATACCCGGAGGTAAATTCGTCATTTGTTGTTGCTGATGTTGTTGAGGTCGCTGCATCAATGAGTTGTGGTTGTTGTTGTTGGTAGTAGCAGCGGCCGTCGAAGAAGAGGAATTAGAGCCATTAGGAGGCGAAGGTGCGTGTGTGAGGTCTAATGTGACGGTAGGGAATGGTGCGGAGGCTGAGATTGTAGCCATGCTTGTGGAGCAAGGAAGAACAGCCCTAGCTAGTAAATTGGTAGGGTTCATCATCCCATCGTGACTAGACATTGACCCGGATAGCAACATGTTAGCCGCGGCGGTGGTCGTGGAAGCCATGGCCACCGCGGCTGGCGGTAAAGGATGGATGTGATTTCCCTCGTAGGTCGTTATCAGAATCGATCTGTCCTCCGCACAACGTTGAACCTATAAAATACCATTTTGGACCATGCTTATTAGCCAATCATTCAAACATGTACATTCGTAAGCTCTAATGTGTTTAGACCAAGAATTTTTTAGTGTTCTGTTATGTCTTTTTCAAGATTCTAAAACTAACTCGTTTCTTTGTTCTCCATATATAATTCACACATGCGTGCACTACCATTAAGTTACATGTTGCGGTCTCCAAAATTGTTTTTGATATTGAACCTAGTTTTAAGCTTATATGCGATTTAAATTGTTGACAAAAGAAACTTGGAAGAGCAAAATATACATACTTGTTTGCGAACGGGACAACCCGTGGCCATCGTACAACGATAATAAGCTCGCGGACAAGGATTCCCTTTAGCCATCTTCTGGCCATACTTTCTCCATTGACATCCATCACTTATCTATATAAAAGCATAAGTATAAACATAATTAGTCTTTTTAATTAGCGTATAGTTTAATTATTTTTGTGACCTAAATCAAAGTACTTAATTACCATGGGAGCTTCTGATCGGGCACGAACCGAGACACGAGCTTTCCTCATCGTAGCCTCAGTGGATTGATCAAAAGTCGATGGACTACTATTATTCACTTTCTGAACTTTATTAGACTCGGTTTCGGGGCTTTCTTCACGCCCAAGTCTCTTTCCATCCCTAATCTCGTTACTACGCTTCTCGGCCGCAGAAGAACCACCGGAACGAGTTCTTTCTTCAGATGAAGAATTCGACACATCCTCAGCCTCGCCAGCTGCTCTTGAAGGGCCTAGATTGATAAATTGTCTTGGTACTATCGTCTCCTCAGGCTTTTCAGCAGCCTCTATTACCTAATCATATAGGTTCATCAAAGTTAATTATTTGCCTATTAATCATCTTGTTCGCTTGTGGTTAATAATCAACCAATCAATGATTTAGTTACCTTGTTTTGTTGTTGTTGTTGCATTAGTGAAACAAGATGCATCTGAAGTGAAGTGTAATTGTTGCTCACTTGTGTAAGCAATTCTCTAAGCTTATGATTCTCCATGGTCATTTCCTTCAGCTCATCTTGTAACTTAACCAACTGTGATTAAAAAATAATGTATATTACTCCTATATTATATTAAACCGGTTTAAAACATCTATAAACCAAATCTATATACTAATTACGAACGCATGGTAAATTTTACCTCATTTTTCGCACGCTTATCTTCCATTTCGGAAGATTCTCCATCATCGACCACTGATTGATCACTTCTGGTATTACCCGTAGTACGAAGATTCAAACCGGTCTATTCAAAAATAAATTTACAAAATACAAAAATTAATAAATGATACTAACAAAATTTGAAATTCAATTTTAGATTTTGAATCAGAATTAAATATGGTTAACATTAATACAAACCATATAATGTTACTTATAAATTCATATTTCAATTATATAATTTTGTTTTTAAAAAAGTTGGACTTACATTTACGTGGGTTTGATCATCTTGTTCCTCCTTCTTAACACGAGCACGAGGGTCGTCAACATCGTCACCACAAACTATAGATTTTCTATCGGAGAAAAAATCCACTTCGCCAGGAACTTCACGGTCGTTGTCTCCAGCATCATCTTCACGGTCACGAATACCGGAGAGACTCACCGGAAACCTAAATTCGTTTCTGGCGGTGGATATTTTCGTCTTTTGATCATCGTCGTCGTCAATTCTAGACATGGTCAATGGATTGGAAAAGCGGCGGTGATTATTACTGTTGAAACGATTAGGGTTTATGAGATCGAGAGAAGATGAATCAAGAGTGAGACCAGACCATCCTCTTTCCATAAATAGAAGAAGAAGATCACGAGATTAACGAAAGGAGAAAGATTGTTAAAGAGAAAGAGAGAGAGAGAAATGAGAAATGAGAGATTTTTTTTTTTTTTGGTTTAGAGAGATAAATGAAGATTGTGAAGTCTTTTGCCAGAACATTAGACTCTCCTATAAAAAGGGTTTGGGACGTGGACCGATTTTCGTTTTTTCTTTCGTCACATTGAATTTTTTTAATTAATGAATGTTGATATTACTTTCCGGAGACTTTTTGATAAAATTATGGGAGATTTTACGTCAGTTGCTGCGTCATGCCGGGTCCTAACCCAACCCAGAATTCACCCGGATTCTTTGCCCGTTTCATTTTCATGGAAATTGTCAAATTGATACTACTAGTTCTGTTAACAATATTGTAATTAAAAATATTGATTTCGTTTTTTATTTGCACCTCTTCCACGGATAGACAATTCCACATATATTATACTTAGAAATGAGCATATGACAGTATGTAAAATAATATGCTATAATTTAAAATCAGACACAAAATATAAATTATCAACTAAATGGTACTAGTGTTTTTCATCAATTGTTTTGCCGTATAAAAAGAAAATTGTAGTTTTCATCTGTTGAAGAGTTGATATATTGGTATAAACCAAAAATCGATTTCTCATTTTTATTAGGTTAATCGAAATAATATTATTCTTTAAAACTATTGAAAATTCCGATGAGTAAGTTAATCAATTACTACATTTACGATAGTACAAAGCTTTATCTTAATTTGATAACTTACACATGATAAATGGATAACAATTTTTACGAAAATGTTATCTGTCTTGCAAATAAATACAAGACCGTTACGAGTGTTCTTTATTCCAAAATGTCCACTTATTTAAAAAAAAAAACGAAAAGGAGGATCCATGTCGAGTGGTATGACCCGATAAATAGAATTCATTAAAATTGATGAATTTTGATGTCAAAATCACGAGAAAATGGTTATGTGGCGCTAATGGTCTTACTCTTATCAATACTTTTTTAATTTCATCAAGAAAGCGCATTGACTAGTTCGGCTGTTCACAAAGGGACGAAAAAGTTTGATCCACCGCCCCGTTTGCTGCGGCGCGTTCCACGTGATTATCTCTTTTTTTTTCCCCAATTTATAAATTACTTTAGTTTTAACAACAACAAAAAACAGTTGGAAAAAAAAGAAAAAAAAAAGAAGAGAGTGAGAAAGATGGCTTAACTGAGTCAACGATTTTGACGGCCCGGCTTCTTATAGTCTGACCGGAGACCGGGTGCACCGGTCCTTAGGTCTTACTTCCATGGTCGGCTGGGTCCCACCCATGTTATAAAAGCTCTTCTAACCATTTAGAAAAAATTATAAATTTGACCAATTTATATATATCGTTGTTATAAAAGTACGCCCCTTAATCTCTATTTTTCTGATGTCAAAAAATATTTCTAGAACTAGAACTCGTTTTCTAAAGTCAAATTGTTATGTTTAACATATTTGTTGCTTAACACGGACTTATTTTTGTTAATCATGGTTAGCACATGTGATAACAAAAAATATTGCACTTCGTTGAATATTGTTATAAAAAAAATTGTGTACCATAACACATATCAACAGTGACGGATTTAGAAACAAATTTAGTTGGAAATATAATAAAAAAAAATAGAAATGGTAATTTATAAGTTCGTACTTTGACAATTGTATGTACTCGTAAAGCTGTAAATAAAACTTTACATGAAAATTGCTATATATATAATATAGGTTTGAATTGGACATATTAAACAACAACAAAAAAGTGCATCATCAAATTTTTTAGATATTTTTCCTTCATAAAACTTGTTTTTCTCTAACATCCAATCATACTTTAATTTGATTATACAAGTATAATACCGACTTGGAACTTGGAAGTATAACTTGAGCAACTACGTATCTTTTATGTGTTATCATTGAACTTTAGCAAAAACAAATATTTGACTGATGGATTAGTTATTATAAAGTTTAACTTGACGTGTTTTTAATTTGGTATACCAGTTAAATCTTTCATTTGGAGGGAAAAGAAGTTTTTTAATTAACGGTTTTTTAATTACCATGGTTTATAATAACAGTTTTTTAATTACCATTGGTTCAGTTAAACCTTGTTAACAGGCCTATAATAATGGTTTTTTAATTACCATTGGTTTTTTTAGATAACCTTTTTTGCTGCCATATGCTTTTACCGCTAATTCCTTCTGATAATTTTTTGTTTTTGTTTTTGCTTTTTTTTTGGAACTTTATTTATTTATTTTTTTTGTTTTAGTTGCTCCTTGTAATGATTAAAAAAATCAGAATGATTACAACATAAAATTTTCCATCACCAACTAAACAATGTATAAACTTAAAAATATGATATGCCATTAAGATTTAAAATAAGCTAAAATAACTAGAAGATAAAGAAACGTGTCACCGGATTCCATTAATGTGTTAATTTAAAATTTGAGAAGATGATACAAATTTTAAATTTTATTTGAGTCCACACACGAAGAAACAAGAGAGCAAGAGAGACAGAGAGATACTGTTTTTAATTGAGTTTAAAATTAAAAGGCTTAAGGGGCTCCCACGTATTGACAAGAGAGATGTAGATCTGGAGTTTTGTTAGCATGTTGACTGTCTACCGGAACGACCGAGTCTTTAGCTTTGACTTTTTTGCCTTTTTGTTCTCTCTCTCTAATCACATTTTTTTAAAACGTCTCTCTCTCTAACCACGTTTAATAATTAATATTTTAAAGATATAAATCCTTTTTATTTTCTTCTTGACCTTTTGTCACTTTTCTCCGTCTTTCGTAAATATTACCTCTAATGTGGGGCAACTTTTAATCGTTGGTTTTTTCCATCTATATATATTATACATGTATATAAACCAATCGTTTGGTCTTAAGACTTTTAATAAACCAAAAACAAAGCTCTGATACCATATAAATATATATATATATATTTTTTTTTTTTTTAAAACAAAATAATAATAATAATAATAAACTCATGATTCTCGAGATGCATTTATTTTTAGAAATTATAGGCTTAAACCTTAATAATATATTGGCTAATAAATATACTATTTCATAAAAGCTTACTTTTCAAATCTCTCAATATTTAATACTCTTCTTCAGATTATGATAATAGTTCGATTATTTCTTCAGTTTTATTTGTTAGTGATTATTTTATATAAAAAAGGTTTCTTCATCATCGAGAACTCTCTGATAAAAGTCTACAGTCGATAAACTTGATAACAAAAAAAAACAAAAGTAAACAAATAAATTTGTGGCATTGCATAACTTATTTTATTAATTCTCAAGCCACAATTAATTTGTAAATCATTCACATTTAGGACGAGGAAGGAGCCAAGAAAGCGTGCAAGATGTCAAAAATGGGTCCACTGGAAATTAGAGTAAACTAAACAGAGATTAACAAATAAAATTTATCAGCTTAAAAACTTTCTCGGTAGAGTGGTTAGACATTTATGTACAAAGAGAAGAAGAAAATCTGCAGAGCTGTCTGAGATTTGCGTTGACCAACATTATACTTACCCCACGTGGCCGAGTTCGCATGACGTAGAAATCTTGTGGACAACAGTTTTGGGTTTACAAGTAATTTATCTAAAACTATCGATGCTTTTCACACTTATATGCACGTTTCTGTATCCACAAAAAAAAAAAAACAATACAACACTGTACTTTTTTTGTTTGTTTTTTCGATGAAGATAAATATATAAATGAGACCGTGAGAGACATCTTCAGCTTTACAACATACAAGAAGTCTATATTTGAATCCGACCACAGAAATAGTCTTAAATTTTGACGCAGTCAGCCACCTGATTTTATCCAAATCGGTGAAAAATAATGAATCGGTGATGATTAATGGCCTCACATCTACTCAATGCCCAAAATCTCTATCGAACCATGGTAACTGTTGCTGTTAAAACTGGTAACTGGCTTGACCAAAAACAAAAAACAAAAATGGTAATGCACTGACGTCTGACGCTATCAGACTTGTGCGTGTAATATCAATGTTTCTGGTGGTACGTATTATCAATGGTTTCTGAGATTCAATTGTACGAGAAAATTATGAGTTTACAATTGAACTTCATGTTGTGAAAACTTAGAAACTTTATTAATCACTGGAATGTATATATAGAGTATATAGGGAATCTAGGTTAAGTACAATGCCCTGATGGGTCCAGTGGGCCGGTATAAGAGTCCATATATGATATGTGTTATAACATTCCCCCTTGGACGAGTGAACCGGGCCAGCTACTCAATCGGGATCTCGATAATGCGCTGGGGAATGTTGCCTCATTAAAACCTTACCAGGAAAAACCCAGTGGGACAAAACCATGTTGAAGGAAAAAGAGTACAACACGCATTACTCCCCCTGATTGTAGCATCACTGCAGATCTCTAAGTCTATACATTCCTATCTGTTTGACGAGCTTCCGGTGTGTTGAAGTAGGCAATGATTTGGTGAAGAGGTCAGCTGAATTCTCACTGGATCGGACCTGCTGAACGCTGAGAGTGCCGTCCTTCTGCCAGTCTGAGGTTGAGAAGAACTTCGGTAGAATGTGCTTCGTCCGATCTCCTTTGATATATCCTTCCTTGAGCTGAGCTATGCATGCCGCGTTGTCTTCATACATCACCGTGGGCTGTGTGTCTTCGTCCATACCACAATCTCTGCGGATGTGCTGAGTCATAGAGCGCAGCCAGACGCATTCCCTACTAGCCTCATGAATGGCTAGGATTTCAGCATGGTTTGATGAAGTGGCAGTGAGTGTCTGCTTCATTGATCTCCAAGAGATGGCTGTTCCTCCATGCGTAAAAACGTAGCCAGTTTGAGACTTGGCAGTGTGCGGATCTGATAGATATCCTGCATCGGCGAAGCCGACTAACCCATCTTTATTTTGGTTAGTATAGAAGAGTCCTAAGTCTTGAGTACCTCGAAGGTATCTTAGGAGATGTTTTATACCGTTCCAGTGCCTCTGAGTTGGAGATGAACTATATCGAGCGAGGAGGTTCACGGCGAAACATATGTCTGGTCTAGTGTGACTAGCCAGGTACATTAACGCTCCTA